TTTTTGAGTTGTGAGCCGCCCTGAGTCCCCTTAGGGAAAAGGGCGGCATACAAATGAAATAAAACTCTAAACTCTAATTGAGAGTCCAAAAGATTCAAGACTGACTCCTATGGGACACAATCGTATGGAAAAGTACCATCCTATTGAGAGTTAAAAATGGAATTGTATTCCTAGGAGTGGTGTGGGTGGGAGGACATATTCTTTTCAATATTGAGCTTGAGTCTGTTCCTTCCATCCAGACCCATCCAGATCCACATACTGGGCTAGGAATTCAACAACATTGCTTACATGGCATAGGATTAAGACTTAGAACTGGATATAATTAACTTATTGATGATACTGGATCTCAAAACAATGGATGACCTCACCTGGAAATTTCTTGTAGATGTTAAACGAAATGGGGAAAAAGCATTGTATCCTGCAGTACTGCCAAAGTGGTGGGCTACAGGCTCTGTCTCTCTGCCCACCAATTTCCATACCTCAAAGCCAATCCAATAGGTAGGATACCAGGATCAATGATACTGAAAGTCACAAAGAGCAAAAGGAGCACAACTTGAAATGCAGTGTGTGTGTGTGTGTTCTGAAGAAATCTTGATTGATGAATCCCCCCCCTTTCTGTTCATCACTTTTTAAAAGTAGATTAGTAGGACATTGAAAGACCAGGCTCATCTCTACTCTTCTTCAGTGAGAGAATAGTGAGAGAATCCACAGAAGAGAATATTTGTAGCTCAGGATTGAACAGCGGAGTCATTGATGCTCTCGGAGCTTGGTGATTTTCCGGCACATTTCATTATCAAATTAGGTAATTAACTAGGTAACATCAGTGCTATATAAGTCTAATCGTCTAGCACTGATGATGGTTTTAAAACATCAGCAAGAGAACCACCAGATTCATAGAACACCAAGGACCCCACAACAGTAAAAAATGAAAAGCTAGACCTTATTTCCTTCCCCAGTAAATATGGCAAGAATTTTGTCATTTTTGCCTTAGAACCTTCCTGTCCTGGGATCTTCCTTGGGCTCCATCCCAAATAACCATAGCTGGCTGGAGAATTCTGGGAGTTGAAGTCCACAAGTCTTAAAGTCGCCAAATTTGAAGATAACGTGAGGTTTTCCCGCCTCCCCACCCCCACCCCAAAGCACCCGGAATTAGGCGCGCGCGCCAAACTGCCAAACCCCTCCTCCATTTTGGCTCGCGCTTTGGAAGAGGAATCGTTCTCCCCTTCTCTGTTCCTCTCTCCCCCCCCCCATTTCCTTTGATGTCTGAGGGAAGAAACTCCTTTCCTTCGCCATCGCTCTTTCTTTTCGCCAAGCGGAGGAGTGGCCTTTCTCAGATGCGCATCCCAGGCTGAGGTGGTCGCCGTGAACTCCTCCCTCTTGCTGTAGTAATCTTTCCACGCGATTAGCGAAAATGAGGTTTCCCTCTTAGGTCGATTTAATGCGTGCAGATTTGTAATAACGCTGCAAATTGATTGACAAAGCGATCCGCTTTCTTAACTGTTCCGAACCGAATCTTAATAGCATTGGCTAATCTACTAGTACAACATGGGGTTCATAGCTATTAGCCCTTACAGTGCCTCGTGAGCTATAATCTCTATTATAATACAATCCTCAGATTTGAGGACTGCTTTAAAATTCTTCCTGTCTTCCTTAATGAACATTATTCCACAAGAATGATTGTACAGTTGCTAATATACTACCATTTCCTTTAAAAAAAGGTGTCTCAAATGTTCTAGAATCTGCCATTTATAGAGGATTAATTGATTGATTATATGCCACATATCATCAAATTTTACCAATCGCATGGGTTGGAAATTCTAAATCATTTGGCCAAATGAAATAATCTAGTCAGATGTCTTCATGGAGAGATTTAATTCTAATTTCATAATATTTATTTAAATAAACCTGAAGTTGTGCCTAGTTTATCCTAGGAACAATTTATTTCTTTCCTAATCTCTGTGTATGATGAGAAATAAATAAAGTAATATTTTTTGTTTCTTGACTGTCATACTGGAAAATCTGTTCCAATAGCATAAAAATATCACAGTATGCTTTAAAAAGGAGGAAAATATTGTTCCTGATTAGGGGGATTTATTACTACATAGTCTAAATACTTCTCCAGTTCTAACAGTATAAGGCCTAAAACAAAGGCTTTTGTTGCACAAATGTAATATATATACCAACCAAATCATGAATGTTGTAACCACTAACAAAAGCATAAAAGTAAATTTAAAAATATTAACTGATTTTTGTAACATTCACATTTTAAATGTTTATCAAGTTTTTGCACAATGAGTACATGGAAAGCTTTGATGCCCAATTTATAAATGACTTATTTGTGGACATTCCGTTGGATATTTTATTAAAACCATAAAGCCTGCTATGTACTTAATTAGATTTCTTTTTTAATAGATTGTAGAACTGTTATGATTTGTTGCAATATGATAAAAATGTCATTTTTTTCCTATGAAAGAATTCTACTGTAGATCAAAGCCTTCAGTGAGGAAGTACTCATTAGTGATGATGGATCATGCTTATCACAACACTCTTGAGAATGCAACAGTTGTGCAATTAACTGCAGTTTTGTCAGCAGATAGTAAGTATTAGTTATTCCTGAAATTATTAATATTATAGCAGTTTAGATTTAGTGTAGTATTGGCTTTATGAATCATCCCTTCCTATTTAACTGTATTAAAATTAATGTATACTTTAGTTTTTATTGCCATCTTATGTATGACAAAGTTCCAGATACAACTGGCTGCCAGTTTTATTTAAATAAGAAACATTCAGTAAGATATCATTATGACAATTGGATGAGATATGCATAGGCTGTATTTGGGTTATGGATATGCAATCTTTTTGGAGGTCAGTGGCATTGGGGTGTGTGTGTGTTGGACTTTGTCCTCGTGATCACACAGAGACTCTAAGCTGATGCCCTGCTGTATGTTCCCCCATGGCTCTGCCAGACTCCGTCCAACAGCACCTAGATAATAAGATTTGCATATTTTGAATCAAAATAATGTTTATTCTTAAAGCTTTTGATTCTTTAAATATAGGGGTAAAACTAATTTATGTGCTACCAAAATTGTACAATTCCTGACAATTTGTAATTATAAAAATATAATGCACAAAATGTAAAAAGTGATAATCAGATTAAACTTGAACATTAAAATAAACCTTAACAAATTTTAAAATGTGATAGCACCAATCCATATTAGGGCATATCAATTTTTCAAAACCCTGTAGAACAACTCCATTTGACAGGTTTTTAAAAAAGATAATGTGACCTCTAGAAGAAGAATATTCTTCTGCTTCAGGTCTCTCCTAGATTTCAGCTCTTTTAGCCTGGGAACCCACCTTCAACTAGCAGAAACAAATTGGATAAGAAGATATGGTTTTGCAATACTAGGAACCAACCATTTAGGGTTTTAAAGGGTAACCCTTTCAGTCTGGAAACCTATTAGAAGCCAGTACATCACCCACAATATAGAGGGTATGTTTATATGGTTACATTCTGCACCAATTCCAATTTTCAGGTTATTCTCAAAGCACATTGTAGTAGTCTATCCTAATGGTGTTGAGGGCATGAATGAAAATATAATTTGCCAGGTATTTTCACTCAGGGGCTCTATGTATACTAGATGAAGGTAAATTAAGGTCTTCTTGATATCCTAATAATGACTTGGAGTCCTGAAATGTCACAGACCTGCTCTTTTAGGATGAGTGCTACCCCATGCAGAGTAACTGCTGGAACAGACAGCAACTGCCTTATTAGAGTTCAGTCTCACTTGTTTTGTCCTGTCTAGATCCTCACAACTTCTATGTACTGAATCAAGATAGTCATGATATCTGTATTCTTGGAATCTGGAAACAAAAAACGAAGCATGGAAAATGAGGGATATTTCAGCCTAAGAAATCAGCAATGCCTCAATCTAGGAATTTATGGAGGTGGGATGAGGGACAAAGAACACACCTTAATGTACTTGTTAACAAGTGACAACTATGGGTTTTTCTTAATTTAGTTTTCAAAATAAGTAAGTTATTCATTTCTTCCTGAAATTAAACTCATTATGTGTCACTCTTGCTTCTTTGGATATACTACTGTTGAGGGTTGACAACATTTGGCTCAATCCAGCAGTACAATATACTGCTGAGTCTAATAAGCATTCTGATGATATCAATCTTTGAACTAATGGGTGATTAAACAGAAGAGGTAAAAGGAAATCCTCTGTGGGACTATCAAGTGAGTGCCCAAGGGAATCACCCATTTAGGTAGGAGTGGAACCACAATAAAAAGTTCCTCCAGTTTATCATGATACATATCATAATATGGTCAGTAGTATTAAATGAGCCTGGAGATCACCAAGGATCAGAAGCCATGCACTCCCTCTAAGTGTTGACACAGATAATCAATTCAAACAGTTCAAGCCATTCCTGCCCCATGTCCATGTTTGAATTCTAAACTGAAAACAGTTCAGATATTTCATTACCCCTAAAAGACTTTACAGCTGGAGTCAAAGCATGTTTTTAACACTCCCTAAAAAGGAGATGTTGGAAACAGTAGTGATATAGTAATTAGCAATGGTTCAGATACTTTTTTTTCTTCCTTTAGAGTAGATACATGGATTTGACAAATAGAGGCTGTAGATGTGTAACCATATATATATATATATATATACACACACAATATTTTTACTGTTGTATATATATATGTATATATATATATGTACATATGTATGTATATATATATGTATATATATATATGTATATATATATGTGTATGTATGTATGTATGTATGTATGTATGTATGTATGTATGTATGTTGTATTTGTGCTGATAAATAAATAAAGGGAGACTAGTATAGATCTATTTCAAGCTATTTAGCTCTCATCAGCTAGCCATACTCTTACTGGGAATTGAACCTGTGCTGTATTGCATCTTAGGCAGATTTGTTAACCACTAAGCCACAGAGCTCAACTCCTTATCAGCCAAATCAGGGTGAAGGTATCTATTTAGATTTACAACCCCTGGTATGTCCAAATATGGGAGGAAGATCACTACCATTCTCTGTCCTTCGGCTCGTCACAAGAGACCATCCAGACAGAAACCCAATATTTTTACTGTTGTCTTTTTGTTACATTTGTTGTAATGTAACATCCTAAGATTTTTTAGGTATGTTCCAAAAGAAAAAGCTAGCAGTTGTTTTATACAACTAAAAAATATAGATTTCAGAATCAGTTATACCTATGAAAAAGTTCAGAATCATTGACCATAGAGAACCAGTTAAGATTTTTCTTCTTTGATTTAAAAAAAAAGAGAATAAAGGTCAAGAATAGGCTGAGTAAATCTTAAGAAAAATATCCACATTTTTATTAAATGTAACTTCCTAATTCCTTAGCAATGCCATGGAACAGCATTGGTATTAGCAATAAAAATATCATTTTGAATGCAGGCCAGTACTCCGAAGAACATGTTCTAAAATGCACATTCAAAGCATGTGATCCAGAAGAAACAGGTAAAAAAAACATTTTAATATCATTTGGAAGCACTTAGCATTTAATCAAAGAACTGCTTTTTATTTTGCTAAGAGATTTTGAGAATATAACATTATTTTACTAATGTACTCTAACAGAAAATCTCAGTTAATGGAGTTTGATTTAATGGTAGTCCTTGATTTACAAGTAGCCTGTTTAGCAACTGTGTGAAGTTACGATGACTCTGAAAAAGTAACTTTACAAATGTTCCTCACTGTTAGCATCCCCATGGATATATGATTGCCATTTATGTGCTTCACAGCCAGCTTCTGACAAGCAGAGTCAATGGAGAAGCTAGCAGTGAAATCTGAAGTCACGGTCATGTGACATCTCACTTAATGATCATGTTGCTTAGTGACAGATTTACCAGTCTCAATTGTTAAGGGACAGAAAGTCCCAGTTCTTAAGTAAAGACTACTTGTATTTTTTTAGTCTTAGATCTTGCTAGCCATTATCCAAGTATATCTTCATTTTATGAGGGATATAAGTTTGAAAAACAAAAGAAACCTAAAATGATGATGAGAAACTAACTGATGAGAATGAGAAACTAACATAATTTTTCATACTTGTGTACTATAGAAGCATATACAACAGAGTCCAGGCTGGCAATGATGTTTCGTTATATGCAGGTTCTCCTCATTTCAACTAGTGAATTCTGTAGTAAAATATTTTTGTAAGAGAGTAGGTAAAGAGCATTCAAGGTCTTAAATCATTATGTCACTAGACTTAAAGCATTTTTATATCACCACTCAGCAGCTGAAGTGATGTAGGGTCTTTCTGATAGCTCAGTAAAAATGCTATCTACCAGGCCTTGACCTGACAGAAAAGTATGCTAACATAATACCCTATTGCAATCCTTATTCTGCCACAGTAAGAATTTTTGTGAATGCCTCATCTTTATTTATTGTGGGTCAAGTTTAAAAAAACATTGCATTCTCTGGTTTCATTTTTCTTCCCATCAAATTTTTACCTGCTAGCAGAAGAAATATCTACCAGTCACTTTTCTTATGTCTGATGAGAAGAGTTTAAATGGATATTTAGAATCCTCTCACGAGTCCTTTTGCAATCCCTCTTCTGCACCTGTGACCTGTCACATTATTTTTTAACAAGTTCTAGCACTACTCTGAAAGAATGCTAAGCCTGAGTTCAAAAATAGCCCAGCTGATAGGTAAAATACAGACAAGGGGTGCAGAGTGAAGTGGGAGGGAGTGATGATAATAAGCAAATCCAATCTTCAACTAGTGCTACAAGGGAATACAGGCCTGCAAAAGGAACTAAGCTTAGTCAATTCTGAATTTATCTGTTGCCAGTTGCACTCACTCAATAGCTGAATTAACCTTCATGTATTAAGCACACTCAATACCATAGCACCAAAGACTTAGTAGTTAAAAGTAATTAAATGGGGAAAAAATATGGCCACACAAAATTTCAGCACCTAAAAGGCCAATGCAGTACTGTGCTGCATCAACAGAATCAAAATTAAAATGATGAGAACTGGTAATACTGCTTTATACCACATTAATGAGGGCGCATTTGGAATATTGTGTACAATTCTGGTCACCATGATATAAAAAAAGATAGTGAGACCCTAGAAAATGTGCAGAGAAGAGCAACAAAGATTCTCTTTCTCAATAAATGGACATATTTATCTTTTTTTTAAAAAAGATTTTGTTATTAAATGGCATGTATAAAGTTAATGTAGAAAAGATAATAAAATATAATTAACGGAAATGATGTATTATGATGAAAATGTTTTGAAATTTAGTGAAAATGTCTCTATTTCTATACTGAGATTTCAGAACAATGTTTTGCTGCAACTGATTTTTTGTGTGCATAAGAAACTTGTTCTAAAAAATGGAACAAAAAGTATTCTACATTAAGCATTTCAAACAAAATTTTCTTCTGTGAGTTTTCTAAGATTTTTTAATTTACTGAACAGCTAATTCACATAGTTTATTGTATTGGTTAAAGCACCAGGCTAGAAACATGAGAATGGTGTTCTAGTCTTGCACAAAACCAACAAAACCAACTTGGGCCAGTCATTCACTGTCAGCCCTAGGAAGAAGGCAGTGGCAAACTACCTTTGAAATCTTGCTTGGATTTTATACTCACATTCATGATCCACTTTATTTTGATTATAGGACAGGTTTCCGTTTTCCGCATCATTGAATACTTACAAGAAATGACAGGGCAAAGCTGTGAAGACTGGAGGCTTCAATCTCTCTACAAGAGATTGGACCCTGAAGAACAAGGGCTTACTGTTGATTTTTTTACCTTCTATACTATTATGAAGGATTGGATTGTAGACTGTCAACAGGAAGGGTGAGTATTAACAGTATTCAGAAATTGTCTTACAGTTTGCTCTGGCACCAATATTAACTTTCCCAGATAAATCCATTTGTACTATAAGAGTTCTCAAATGTTGTGATATATTAAAGAAAGTTAGGCATGATTAAAAAAAATGTTTGACTTTATGTGCATGTCACCAATTTCCAAAGGCCTTACCTGGCTAACATTGAACAATAAACAATGAACATTTAGAATTCTCCAAAACCAAGTACATAGAAAACCAAAATCTATATAAATAAGCCATGTATGATGCAGATCTGATTTGCATATTATGGAGTTCCTCTATTGCTATCTAAAAAAGAAAATTTTTACAAGTTTTTCTGAAAGAAAGGGATGAATTAAAAAGTTGGCCTGTAATTACTGCATTCTCAATACTCTGTTTGGAAATGGAAATGTTGGAAGTTGTAATATAGCATTTCTGGAGGGCATCTATTTAATGATGCTTGCAAATATCCTGAAGGCAGGCAGCTAAATCTCTTGCCTTGAATCTCAGAGAGACTGTTAATGGAGTTAAATGTTGCATTTTAGGACGTTTGGTCATCAGTATAAAATTGCAGTGTTTAAATTTGTCATACCAGGAATTATTTCAAGCCAAGAAATCAAAATGAAATAAATGGCATAATTGTGCATTCTAAACATTGATAGAACTGAACATAATACGTAAATGTTACTGTAATATAGGGTGTTTCCAAACGTCTTGCTTGTTGGTAATAAAATATGGTATACGTTTGTCATCTGTTGATACTTCTGGATTCCTATTCCTGTTGAATATGGAATTTTTTATGTTTCTTTGCCCACAATTTAATAAGGATATATATGTTCATCAAATCTTCTGCAAATAACCTCTTTATTCCAATAGCAAGTTTCTCCTACCCAAAGAGTGAACATTTTTGAATTGTTCATTAAGGGTGTTCTACTCATACAGGCAATATTAATTCTGGTTTCTTTATTCTTTTTTTCTGCTATCTGTTATTTCATCGATGTTTCTGTACTTGTAACTGAATATAGGTAGTCTTGAATTAGAAGCATAATTGAGCCCAACGTTTTTGATGCTAAGTGAACCATTTGTTAAGTGAATTTTACTCCATTTACTCCATTTTAAGTGAATCATTGAGGTTGTTAAGTGTAACAGAGTGATAAAGTGAATATGGATTCCCCATTGACTTTGCTTGTCAGAAAGTCACAAAAGATGAGCATATGATGCCAGGGCACTTCAACCGTCATAAATATGTTCCATTTGCCAAGCATCTGAATTCTAATCATGTGACTATGGGGATACTGCAATGTTGTAAGTATGAAAAACAGTCACAAGTCACTTTTTTCAGTGTGGTTGTAACTTTGAACAGTTACTAAATGAACTGTTGTAAGTCAAGAGCTGTGTGTGCTGTTAGTTTCATAATATATCCTCAATCTGAATTTTGCCATCAGTATCCATTCATGTTCTGCAGTACCCGTGCCCTTGATCCTAAGAGATGAGATGCCCTGGTTTTGAAAAGTTAAATGCATTTGTATAAACATTTTGGTCAAAATATGGCAAACATGATCTTTTGTTTATTTTAATGACAAACATGATCTTCAGTTTATTTTTATATCAATTAAGATATTTATATCAATTAATATAACTCGCAAAAGTTGGATAAATATTCTACTAGCACTTAGTAGGGCAAACAAATTAAAGTTGTGACAAATCAAAAGGTTATTCAATGCCAATTTAGTTCCTCAAATTACTGACTTTCAATGGAGTGAATATTCCCGTTTATTAACATGAGTAACTAAATGCTATCGGAAATAATATATACTAGTTTGAGTATAATCTCTTCAACACAATGTAGAAAAAATATGATATACTCTAATACTATTTCAAGATGTATTATCTTCTGTGAATTCTTATATTCGATCCTTAATCTTTTGCTAAAATAGTTTTAAAAGGACTTATTTGCCACGTGTTACGTAACAGGATAAAAAAAGTTTTTATTTAAAAAAAATCTGCTTACTTTGTACATATATATGGTATATGTAGCAATCCGGATAACTGACTTACTATTTGCCTGCCACTATGAGAACTTTTTGAATAAGAAGTGAGGTGAATAAAGTTTTAAATGTAAAATACACTTTGAAAGGTATATATCCATAATATTTGTTATAATAGTTGCAATAGTGAAAAGTTACTTGCATTGAACCTATAGCTTATATCAGAAGAAGAATGAATTATTGGCAATAGGAACTATTCATCCACAAGTATTATGGACCCCATAGTCGTAATGAACACTTTATTGCTTAAGATAAAATATTTGATCCAATGTTACATACCACATACAGAATATGTAATGATGAGCATGGTATAATTAGCATTATAATATAATAGAATAAAATTCTTTATTGGCCAAGTGTGATTGGACACACAAGGAATTTGTCTTTGGTGCATATGTTCTCAGTGTACATAAAAGAAAAGATACAAGAAAAGATAATGGAATATAATGGCAAAAATCACTTTCCAATTTATTGGCTTTTTCCGTTTTTTCTAAAAAAAGGGAAGAAGCTATTGACTTCACAAATAGCATCAAGGACTTACAGCATGACAACAAACAGCTAGCAGTGCAGAATGTTAAACTACAGAGAACTATTGAGGCTGCAGAAGATCTCAATTCAAGACTCTCTGAAGAGATTTCTCAATTGAAAGGGAAGCTGAGAGGGTAAATGACAGAACTGTCTTACATGAGGCCATTGATAAGGATTAATCTCAGAATGCAACTAATACATTAAAAATGTGGGAAAGCACTTAGGAAAAGAGAAAAAAATAATTTGAATATGTTTATGCAACATTATGCATATATTGCTGAAAGTTAAACAGAGAAGTAACTCAATGAGAGATCAATATAGAGAATCTTTGAAATATTCTCACTCCACTGAACATGTCTTGTGCCTTTTTTTTTTCCTGTCAACATCTTTTTATACTGTTATTGGCTTCTGTCTGTAGTGCCAGTTTCCCAATATAAGTTTGTGCCTAGGTTACTTTCTTTATTTTGAGCTTAATATCTAATTTCTTCCTTTCATTTTCAACTTTGTTGTCAGTTCATCACAAAGGCAGAGTTCAGGCTATTATGACTGAACACAATCTTTGTTATATTACAGTAACCAGCAAACACTGGAACAAGCTAAAATATCAGCAAATGAATTGGAAGATCTGAAAATTTTTTCAAAAAGTATGGAGGAGGAAAATAATAGATTACACACACAAGCACGGCAGTTGGTAGGTCTGGCTGTACATTTAATCTATGTTGTAATCTACCAATATTTTTTCTCCTTAGGAAATCAAAGTATGCATATTTATTTTATCTTATATTTATTATTTGTTTGGTCTTTTAATTGGAAGGTTCTGTTCTGACCGAGCCTTAGCAGAAACAAGAAACAGACCTGTCCTGAAAAACCCCTCTTTATTATCTCCTGTAAATTAATGGCATTCACACACCAAAAAACCTAGGCAATAATCCTTCAAAGAGTTAACTGCAGTAACAGACCTTATCAGTTCCTTGAGATAATTGCCAGGCCAGGTACTAAATCATCTGAAATCCCAAAGGTTGCCTCCTACAACCACCATTCCCCTTTTCTTCTATTTATTCTCCAGCAAGAGAGGGGCCATTCAGCCTGGGAATGTGTGCTTTGCTTCCCAAGTTGACTTCTTGTCCTCAGTTGTTCTCCTAACAGCTCTGCACATACGTACATCTGGAACCAGCCCCAGCTGTTCTTCCTCCCCACTTACCTCAGCTTCCAAAGGCAGCTGCCTGCCTGATGGCTGGGAAATGTCGGATGGCCCTGGCTCTATCTATATGCACATTGCAGTTGGGCAGCAGAACTGATTAATTTCTTAGCAGTTGCATATCACTGCAAACAGTTGGTTCATGAAACACTTGAAAGCATTTATTTTCCATTGGCATGTACTCCTGTGACACTCCAGTACCTTGAATCTCCTGCTTCAGACTGGATTTAAGTCACAATTTTAAATAGGAAAGTTAAGAACTCAGAATTCATGTTCTATGGAGTGGTTTTTGTTCTGACCAACCTTAGCAGAACCAAGAAACAACTACTTGTCCTGAAAAAAACTCTCTTTATTTAACTACTGTGAATTCATGGCATTCATACACAGCAAAGTCCAGGTAACAATCCTTCCAAGGGTTAACTGAAATACAGACCTTATCAGTTCTTGGATAATTGCCAGGCTGTGAGCTTCCAGACACAAAGCTGTAAATAAAATTCTCTCAAACAGTCTGTGAGACACAAATCACAATGAGCAAATCTTCCTAAATCGAACTGTTTTTCCCATGATGCCACTCGCCTTCTATGTATTCCCCTGCCAGGGAGGGCCACTCAGTGTCCACACGTGTATTTCTGAGTCAGTTCCTGGTACTCAATTGTTCTCGCCTGACAGCTCTGCGCATACGCGCATCTGGAACAGGCCCCAGCTGTTCTTCCCCAATTATCTCTTGAGTTTAAAGGCAGCTGGGAAATGTCGGACAGCCCTGGATCTATCTCTGCCTCCAATAAAGAGCATCCATCAGAGTCTTCCCCAGACTTCAGGGCTGGCCAAGTTCCTCCCCAACCTCCTCATCGTCTGAGTCTGCCGTCAGCTGTGCTGTCAGCTGGCGGGCCACAACACTATCTCTTACCGCAGGGCCCTTCCCCTGGGACTGAGGATTCTGGTGCGGCCAGGACGGGAATTGGTTGTGGAAGACCTGCACCAAAGCAGGTGCATGCACAGAGGTCGCATCCTCCCATGTGAAATCCTCCGGCCCATAACCATTCTACTTGATCAGGTACTGGAGCTGTCCTTTCAGCCACTGGGAGTCCTGAATGCTGGAGTGCTCGTACTTGGGTGGCCTATCTCCATCACTTGGTTAAACATGTGGGCATTGGTGCAGGCCGTTGGTAAACTACGACATGGAATGAAATGCACTATCTTCAATAGCACGTCTATCACCATGAACACAGTCGTAAATCCAGAAGACTGCAGCAAATCTGTGAAGAAGTCCATGAAAATGGTACCCCAGTGTCTCTCTGGTGTCAGCAATGGCTGGAGCAGCCCATCATCAACTTGGCCTGCTGGCGCCATACACTGTTGTAGGCTTGGACATCATGTTGTAATCGGGTCCACGAGAAAGTATGAGAAACCAGGTTCAAGGTCTTGAAGAGGCCAAAGTGCCCCATCGCAGGATTGTCATGGCACTGCAAGAGGATAAGTCCCTGGATGGTCCCACAGGGACATATACTCTGCCTCAATACTGCAAGAGTTCCTTGGTGAATGTCCATGGAGAGATGGGCCCCATCTCTTCTTGCTGTTGCTCTACTCATGTGTCATGTTGCTGTGCTTCCTATATCTGAATCCATAAGTCCACGGGCTCCTGAACCACGGAGAAGAACTCCAAGGAAAGAAACGTCCTGGGTGGGAACTGGTCTTCGGTGCGTGAGTACTCTGGTTTCATTGAGAGTGTCCACCCTTTGGTTGCAACTGCTTGGAATGTAGGTGACTCAGAAATTGAACCTGGCAAAGAAGAGGGAACACCAAATCTGGCGTTCGTTTAATATCTTGGTGGTCTGCAGGAATTGAAGGTTTTTGTGGTCTGTCCGGACCTCCAGTTGATGTCGCCCCCCTCCAAATGATGTCTCTAAACCTCAAACACCACCTTAATGATGGGCATTTGTGAGTTGCCTCAGGATCAGCGCTTGTCTCCCTTGCTTTTTAATATTTATGTGAACCAATTGGGAGAAGTCATCCAGAGGTTTAGGGTACAGTGTCATCGATATGCTGATGATATCTAATTCTGCGTTGCCACCCCAGGGTGTTATTTCCCAGGTTTTGGAGGCTGTCAAGGTCTGGATGACAGAAAAACTGAAATTGGATTCTATCAAATTTGAATTACTGTTGATACATTGAAGTCCTTTGCCATGAGAGTTACTCTAGATTTCCTTCATTGAAATCAAACTGGTTTTTGATATCTTTTAAGAATCAAATTGTTTTGGTGAGCTTTCCTGTAATATGAACATTGTCATTTGTATTGATATTTTGTACTTTTGCAGTTTATGTTACACATGCATGTCTCTACTGTGGATGTTTCATATTGTATCTCAAGCTTATTTAAAGCTGTACAGTCATGAAAATGTAGTGTTGACAAAACTTTTTTCAAAATTCTTGTGACGACCATTCAATCAATATTTTTTCTTCTACTTTAGGAAAAAGAGCAGCAGCTTCTCTCTGTTAAGATGGATAACCTTCAGGATGAGGTGAGGTAAAGAGGGGAGAGTTCAGAAAATGAAGTTATAGTAGTTATGCCTGAAATAATTGCAGAGCTCGCTAATCACTTAAACAGAATTTCAAAGGCAGCAAAAATTGTATCAGCTTGAAATTTTCTATCCTCATTGCTGATCCCTATCTAACCTTGTTCAAAGTCACTACAATTGCTAACCTCCCTCTTAGATATTGGATAACAAAGTCTAACCAACATTCTATACTTTAAGGCTGTCTTTGGATAATGACAGAATAAAAGTGAGATATTCTTTAACAACTGCACACTAATTTTTTATTTCCAAAAGAATCACTGCATGAAATTGTTTAGTCCCCCATAAAAGTGTAATTGTATATATTACCTACTTGTACATTAGATTTTAACATTTTCCTCACTCAGCTGGAAAAGAAACTAATTGAAACACCATCAGCACCTACTGCCTTGACACAGAGGTAAGTAACATTAATAATCTGTTGAATTTGTCTTCCAGAACAGAAAGTTGCTTCTAGAAAAAGAAAGCTCAGAGGGTAAAATCAAAGAGCTATTTACAAAGAAAGCCAAAATGAAGGTATGAATGAACTGAGTTGTCTGCATAGCTTATTGAAAATGTCATTGTACCACTAGTTGGGTAGTTAACTGCAGTACTTGTAATTTGACTATATGATTGCAACTACTATATTTGTATTTTTATTTCCTCGTAGTCACAACTCTCTGAGTATGAAAATCGTATCTCTTGCAAAGATGCTGCCCTTAATAAGGTGAGTTGTTTGTCCAGGGTATGCTAAATTGAAAATGTAGTTATGTCATAGTGTGGGGAGGTGTAAAATAACTGTGGATCTTATGATATTTTGTGCTATTATGGATGATTATAGTAGTTGAAACAACTATTGTTTTAAGGTGGTGAAGAGTTTTTGCTATCATAGATACTATAATAATAAATGCAGATACCATTTTAAAACTCATCAGCACTAATTTATTAAAAATGCTTCACTTTGAAACTTTTGCTATGAACCTGAACATTTTTTGCTGCATTTTACAGTAATTCGCAATGATTCTTGAGATGTTCAAATAATTGACAACCTCAGCCTAACTTGTTTTGTCTCTACATTTAGGAATCCCTAGGTGTCACTGCAACTTCAATTTTATATTTAATTTGATTATGAAAAAAGAAATGATCCCTAAGTTCAGATCCTCTTCTTGTTGTGCCATATCCGTCATTCGATGTTGGCAATCATATTGACGATCCTATTTTTATCAACTAGGTTCAGATAGCTACTTTCAAAATCTTCACCAGAGCACAGTTTGTTTTGTGATGCTGAGTTACTTTCTTGTATGGATTTTATTAATGTTTATATTTACAGAAAATAAAACAAATTGAAGTGCTTACAATAACTCTAGATGAATATCGAATGATGGTACAGGTAATGTACATTTTAATTGTGACAAGAAGGAATCTATCCAGAATGTCATTAAGCAATCCAGGGACAAGCTTGCTTGGAATGTCCACAGATTATTATCCTAAACTTTCCCATTTCAGTTATATAATTATAAAAGTATTGGTAACTCAGATTAGGAAGGTGAAGCTTTACATATTTTTTGACTCCTTCTTCACCTTATTGCAAGTGTTTTACATCAGTGAAATTACTGAAATGTTAATGAAATTAAACATTTCTGTAAAGTAAGTCTATGCAACTTTGTAGATATTCTTGTTTAGCCTACTGTCTTGCTTCTTTCCTCTGCACTATTATAGCAGCTGTTGTAAATATTCTTATATTGTACTGTCCATATAGGAATTGAAACTAGAAGTTAATAGGCTTCAAGAACACTTATGTCAATCCTATCAAGACTTAAAAATGTAAGTGCTATCATCATTGGATATTTTTAGTGTGTTAAGATGTACTGTAATGCCTATTGAATACTAATTACTATAATATTTGTTCCAAACTGTATTTTTAAGGAAAGACTAAAAAGTGATATTAAATAAATATTATATATAACTGCTATTCCAATAAATTTTGAGGCTAATTTGTAATTACATTATTCCTTTTCACCCTGAATCATGGTCAACCTCATATTTATTCACAAGAAATTATGTAATGCATATGTAATATAAAGGCTTTTTCTTATATTAACTTAACTATATCTTAATTTTGGGAAGACTTTTTTTAACGAGAAATGATTAATAATATCATATTTTCCAATGTATTTAGTTTTATTATATATATATATATTTAAACCATTTTTCATACCAGATTTATAGCTGCAGAAATGTAACAGAAATGGAAAATTTTCTACAACTCAGCAGTAGTTATTTTCTTGATGCAGGCCACCAGCAAACTCTCTACAAAGTATGAATGGTCCCATACAGGCATCTGCACAGTCACTCTACAAAGAGATTGAAGAATCACGTAGAGTAAGAAGCATTTCGGTTTAGAGAGTTATGCCATTGCTTTAGATGAACTGATAATAATTTTGGGTATTTTGAACATAAATTGGGAATGTATAAGAATAGAAGAACCAAACATTTATCACAAACTTTTTCCATTTAACTGTACCTTATCCATAGAATAAAATGAATAGAGAATTGGCTACTTGCATTCTTTAAAGTATAAGCAGAGCCAAGTAAGCCCTAGCCAACAAAACCAACTCTGTTAGAGTTCTGGAAGACTTGTAAGACCTGGCTGTTTTCCCAGGCCCAATGTTAATTGGAGCCCTTGTGGTTTTGTTTGTTTCTTTGACTATTAAGGCTGTCATGTTTTGTTCTTATGCTTTTAATTATTTGAAATTGTAAATTTGCTCAGGATCTTTAAGAGTGGGACAATTATAGTAAATCTAATAAAACAGTAAACACGACAAGCCTTTTAAAATTAAGAAATTTATGAAATAGTTGATTAATCTTTGGAAAGTGTGTAAAGATTGGGATTGTTTGAATTTAAGGGCCAAAAAGCACTTTTAAAGTACCTGCTTGCAATTGTTTAAAGCTATCAGAATTTAACCCAGGATTTGACGAATTTCTGAAAACTCAAACTTGCACCCTGGAGCAATATGAAGAGACAAAGACATGACTCAGATAAATAAGTTACTTTTAGTGCAGATAGAAGCCCAGATAACTAAAGTCAACTATGTGATCAAGCCCTTGATAAACAATTCATGGTTTAAATATTATAACTCCTCTGCCTGTTTTTATACAATAATGGACAGTCCCTCTCATTTCTCAGCCCTGAATGTGCAGGTAATAGTAAAGCATGTTTTGCTAATAGTACTGTTTGATCTCACATTCTTTGCTTCTGGCTTTAATCAGTCCACACAAAAATAACTGCATCTTTTCCTGGAATTGTATAATTCCGTTCATATTCCTTTGAAGTTGAATGTAAGGAATTGCAATTGTGTTATCTGTATTCATGTTCCACATCTTTCTTTTCAGATTTAAAGCTTTGCACAATACCTGTACTGTATATGTTAATATTAAATTATAATTAAAGTTGGATGATCACACCTATGCTGTCTTATAGTGAATTACCATTACCAATTCAATCAGCATGGAGTTGTCACACTACAGTCCAGTACTAGAATGGTGTTATCACATTACAGGCCAATCTTAGATTGTTACAGTTATAATGCATATAACATATGTAATAGAAACAGGGAGGGGAATAACATTTTGCCAAGAACAAAACTCTGTTAGGAAAAAAAAATCTCTCATGAAATGCTATATTAATAAGTATTAAATTGTGCACAATATTCCTCAAACTACGACTTGATTATACTTTTGTTGTATGTAGCAGGAAATCAGTAAGGAGTGTGGCTTGCCTAGTCCTTTGTGTGGGATGTTGAATTCTTTGGTGATACATTCAGTAGCTGAAGGAAGCATTGATTGCTTGACAGAACAGGTAAATATAGAATCACAAGTACATTGGGCTTCCCCCTCCCCTTTTCCCCCTGAAAATCTGAATTATAATGATACATATTCATAGCAATGAGCACTTAGAATTTTATTTCTGCTTTAGTAACGGCAAATGATTCCAAAAGTTGACTTGGACACATTTCTTTGGTAGCCCTACTTCTGTTTTTCGGGTCTTTTTAAAACAAATTAATTCTAAGTGATATCTGCAGATAATTCAACATTGCATGTCCAGCTTTCAGCAGATACTGTACTGTACTGTTCAGGATTTCAGTAGATCTGTGAACATCCCTTCAAGTCTATTTGGACATATTCCCATCAGCAGAAGGTGACTGATCAGCCAACAATGACTGGTTTTCAGCCCTTTTGCTTTTGGAAATCTGCCATAATGGATTAAAACAATCCAAGTTAAAAATCCAAGTTAAAAATCCAACCAAGATAAATTTATTATTAATTTGGAATTATTTGGATGAACAATGTAGCATTAAAATTAATATATACTTAATTAGAATTCAAAGCATCACCTTTATTCCTTCATATAAAAGATAGAATCTCATTTTCTTTAACTATTTGAGCAATAATTGTTTGGATATTTAAAGCTTATATATGATAGCACTACTTTCATAATCTTTTTAAGTAGGTTAAAAAATCCTGCTCTCAGTCTTCTTAAGAACTGATAAAGACCTAATGTGAGATTTATTGTTCTGGCAACTATTCTTTTTCTCTTTCTCTAGGAACATAACAAGAAAGGGTTAGATGATATCAAAGCATTACTTCCAGTTTCACATAGCTTGTCTCAGTTAAGCCTTTTGACTGATGATAATGATCAACTAATATTGAAGATTCAGGAACATACACAAAACCAAAACAATCTTCTATCAGAGAAAGGGGGAAGGTAGGAATGATGGTGACATTGCTGAATAAATGAGAATGTTTTAAATCTCAAAGATATTCTTCAATCAAGAATTTAGCTATAAGTTGGGCAAATGATTGAGAATACTCAGATCTCTTTGGAAATAATTTTTTCTTTTTGATAATTGAATGCTTCTAAGGGATGGATGTAAATAGGGACAATAACAAACCAATATTGGAAATATTGGAAAATGAGAGCAACAGATGTTACCCCAGTGAAATTTTATGGACTCCCCAAGACAGGAGTCCCTCTCAGATGTATTGTAGTGCTACAAGATATCTCTATCTACAACTGGGCTAAATGGCTGCACAACGTTTAAGCTTCCTGATTCCATCCCTGAACTTCAAGATTTAAGTGTGGGTCCTGATGAGATCATGGTCTCCTTTGATGTAGTACCCCTATTTACATCCCTCCCTCCTCACTTAGCATACAAAGTAATAGATAAAAAAAAACTAGAAGAGTAGATCAGAGATTATAATAACCTAATCAGGACACATATCATGAAGATACTCCAGTATTGCCAACATGCTGTCTTCACATTCAAAAGAGAAATGTATTAGCAATTGAAAGGGACACCTATGCGATTTGCAATATCAGGAATCTTTGCAGAAACTGCCCTGCATGAACTAGAATAACATGCATTTAAAAATGACATTCCTAAATGTTGGTGCCACTACGTGGCTAACACATTTTTCGTCATAAACAGAAATGCACTGAAAGACTTTCATGCCCTACTGAACTCCATCTTCCCAAACGTACAATTACCATTCTTAGATGTTCTTGTCTAAGCACAAGCAGGAAGAAACCACAGTTTATTTTAAGGTCATCAACACTCTATGCATTCATAGTTTCAGCAGTAACTATCCACTGTCACACAAAAAGAGTTATGTCAGAACACTATGTCGGAAAGTGAGAACCCGCTGTACGGTAGTACCCAGCAAGCTTAATCAATTGGTGAAAAGGTACCTACATGAAGAATTCAGGCAGAATGGGTACCCACAAGCATTTATTACAAGATTCCTGTGTAACGTACAAGGAAGAGAAGTGAAGAAAGAAGCTATAGGACCAACTCTATGGCCCATCCCTCCATACATCAAAAATATTTTGGAACCAGTAGAAATCAGCTTCTGGGAGGCCACTGGGCACTGTACCACGAAGAGGCTGCCATACGAGGACAAATCATGAATTGCAAAGATTGCTTTGAGGGGGGAGGTACTTCTAATGTAATCTACCAGATCCTCTGCATGGACTGCCCCTATGACTACTTAGGACATATGGGGAGGAAGTTAACAACCAGACTGCAAGAACACAATTGGTCAGAAGAGACCTAAACTCATTGGTAGCCTCACACTGCCATGAACAAGGACATACATTTTATTTTGCAACTACTAAGATTATTAGCTGAGCAGGTACAAAGGTAGCCGGGGAAATGATTTAAGTCTGGAAAATGGGCCCTTTGTCAGTGAACAGGAGTGCTGATTTACCACCAGCTTATCAGGTACTTGGAGCCGAGAACTCGGCAACACAAGGAAAAAACAGCCAATAGCCAGTCATCAACACGCTAGTCAAGCAATAGGAAGCCACACCAACCAGGCACCACATAAATATGATGCAGCCCAAATAACATTCTGGTAGAAAGAAGTTCCATGAAGATGGGCTCCAGCACAAATCTGGAACTCAAAAGCCTAAACCTCTGGTCCTGGTGAATGACTCACTGCAAACTTATCGTAACCATTATAGTTCTGGATAGCATTCCAATTCCTCCTTTGTTTATTGTAGCTTACATACCTAGCAGTATATAAGATGAAGGTGATTATATTCCTAGAAAAATTGTTTATGATTTATGCCTGCTTAATGGAGAAAACTACTTCAAAGTTAGAACAGCTAAGGACGACTTAAGACTGCCTTAAGTATGAATTACCAATGACTTAAGGATATGGCAAAAGAGTTTCCAGGGCATGTTCTGCTATTGCTATCTAGAAAATGGAAAAGTCCATATGTAGTGAGCATTTTAATCTTGTGGTTAAAAGTTTCTTCATATCAGACTAAAGAAGTTTACATTTTTTGTTGTATCTGTATCTATCTGGGTATAATAAATATCAATTTTTTTTCCAATTTAGCAGAGAGGAATCAAAACAAATCCTGACAAATGAACACATTGGCAATAGCAAGACTCTTGAATTGACTCTAAAAAACATGGATCTTTGGGCCTATCCATCTAATATAGAGTCTCAGGTACTTTCTTGTACTTGCAATGATATAGTGATTTCTAATCTTGAAAGGGGATATTTTTAGACAGAATGATTGGCAGCTTTTATGCAATGATTCAACTATAAGAATATCTAAATTGCAGTTGATATATACATGTTTAAATCTCTGAACAACCGTGCTTGCATTCATATCTCCAGAAAAATAACTTATTTTACAACATAGAATTTAACTAGGTATACCAGACTTTTCCATACATTGCATGGTATCTCCTTTCAGATATTTGAATATCTGTAGTACTGTTTTATACTCCTTAGGCATTTTCTTTTATGTTTGAACATAATGTTAATTATGGTTTATCAAAATATAGTTAAGTAAAACAGAGTTTAGTACAGTGTATAATATAAATAGGCCTGAAGTAATGTCCAAGACATTTTTAGTTAAAGCTAAACATCATAACCATTATTTGCACAATTATTTTCTTCTGTTGCTGTCTGTTGTTCCTTATTCATACTATATTCCTGTATGACTTTGAACCTAAGGCAGGATATAATCTACAGTTGATTCTCCTTCAAGAACGAAGGCTTTGGAGTGACTACAAAACAAGACTGCTTCTGTTTTCTTTGTCTATTAGCCCTGTCTGTCTTCTCAAACTCTGAAGAAGAAACAAAGAAACAGAAACGAAAGATATTGATGGCAATAGGAACTGAGCTTTTTTCAGTCTGTCTACTGTAGTTGTGTTTAAGAAATCTACAGCAGTAGTGAACCTGTCTTTTTCAATTTATACTCCTAACTATTGTTAGAATTAATTCTCACACAGCCATAGAATGATATCATAACAAATAAGTAGGTTTTTTACAGTCATTTCCTATTTTATTTAATTGCCTTTTCCTAGGTAAAAGAGTTATCTTTGATTTATATAGTTGGAAGTATCTTTTTAAAAATATATATTTTTAAAATTATTTTTACATTTAAAACAATGCAATACGCAAAGTTGAAGTGACCATACATTCACATTATATACAACTAGTCTCAACCATTAACTATTAGCCTTACTTACTACATTGTCTATCCTTCTGTCCAATCATAATATATACAGTTTGTTCCAGTCTTGTCACCTTGTCTTATACCAATCATAAAATCTGTTCCAGACTTCAAAATATTCTGATTCCCCTTTATTTTTAAGTTCAAGAGCACGCCTATCTGCTTCCACATAGGGCAACACTTTTCTGATTATATCTAGCTCTGATGGTGTATTTTATTTTTTCCAATACTGAGCATAAGTTATATGCGCCGCAGTTAGTACATGTATAATTAGATAAAGTGTATCTTTCTTAAACCCCTCCGGTATTATGCCTAGGAGAAAAATTTCTGGTTTAAACAAAATTTTGTCTCCCACCATTTGTTCTAACCATGATAGAATCATTTTCCAATATTTTTTGCCTCATTGTATGTCCACCACATATGATAAAAAGTGCCTGGTGTTTTTTTACACTTCCAACAATTTGGGGCTAGATTTTTAAACATTTTGGAGAGCCGTGCTGGGGGGAGATGCCATCTGTAGAATATCTTATAAGCATTTTCTTTATACACCATAGCCATTGTTTGTCCAGGCGACCATAGTTTCTTTGACAGGTTCTTGCTTTAGCTCAGTGATGGTGAACCTATGATATGCGTGCCACAGGTGGCACGCGGAGCCATTTGTCAGGGCACTCAAGGTGCTTTTTTAAAGCCATTTTTCGCCCTCCCCAGTCTCCAGAGGCTTTATAGGAGCCTGGGGAGGGTGAAAAGAGCTTCCCCGCCCCCCTCGGAGGCCATCCAGCGGCTTCATGAGCTTCCCTGAAGCCTCCAGAGCGCAAAAACTGGCCCTACGGGCAAACTGGAAGTTCAGGAACGGACTTCCAATTTGCTTGGAGGGTCATTTTGACTGCTGCAGAGGCTTCAGGGAAGCCTCCTGAAGATCCCTGAAGCCTTCAGAGTGCTTAAAATGACCCTCCGAGCAAACCGGAAGTCCTGAAGGTCCCTGAAGCCTCCGGTGGACGGGGGAGGCTGTTCTCGCCCTCCCCAGGCTCCATAAAGCCTCTGGAGCCTGGGGAGGGCGAAAAAAGCATGCAAAAAAGGGTGTGTGTGTCTGTAATGCGTGCATGCACACTGGGGGGGCGCATTGCATTATGGGTGCGGCAGGCCCACACATGACACCCCCCCCTGCGCTCCCCCCACTTATGGCACATGAGCCGAAAAACGTTCACTATCACTGCTTTACCTTATGTTCCAACAAAAATCTATACAACACTTTGATCAACCTGTTCTCTTGTGCGCTGCTTGGGGAATCCAAGCATGGATTAACTTTGTCCATTAGCCTAGAGACTGAGTTATACAAATTGATGGCCACACCTCCTCTGACTAGACTGGTTCAGTTTTTTAACTCAGTCCAGCCTAAGACGCAAAGACATTCTCTCTAGGTTATTAGACAAATTCATCATTATTATTATTAGCTTGGATTCCCTACAATTCTGCTTGTGCAACAGCTTGAGCTCCTTCCACAAAGCGTTAGATATCTCTGCAAATAGGTTTGTTTCTTTTTCGTTTAAAGTAGCAATTGGATGTTAGCATTCCTGGAGTCTTCAGGCCAGGGAACCCTTTTTTTGAAGGTGAGGTCGCTTCGGTGATACTTGGTGGAAGGTTGGTTCATTGTCTTGGTTTGTCTTGCCATGGTTGAGGATCGGTTCACCGCGCCGGCCGCTCTACCCGCTGTCCGCCGTTTTCCCAAGGTTGCCTTGCGACGCGCGGAGCCTGGACGCTGAATGTGCTGATACCGACAATGTGGCCTCCAAGGCACATGTCAACCGCCAGGGGAGGACGAAGTCCAAATCTCTGATGATGGAAGCAGAACGTCTGCAACACTGGCAAAGAACCATCTGTTGTCAGTCCGAGTGGAACACATATTGGGCACTGTGAACATCCAAGCAGACTGGTTGAGCAGGCCACGTTGGATCAGGCGGAGTGGCGCTTACATCAGCCCTGTTCTGAGAGCTGTCCCACTGCTTTGGTCATCCACAGGTGGACCTGTTCGCTCAACCTGACAACACACACCTGCCGCAATTCTACACCAAGTTTCAGGTACCAGGGGTGGAAGGCACCGACGCCCTTTGCCGCCCTTGGCCAGAGGGCCTCCTTTATGCCTTCCTGCCCCTGCTAATTATACTGCTGGTCATCCAGAAGCCCTCATCCATCCGAATCCACAGCTATTACAGTTAGCTGTGTGGCACATGAGCAGGCGATCCTGAGTCAACAGCATTTCTCTGACAAGGTCATCTCCACGATCTAGGCGGCTCGCCACCCGTCTATAACCTGCATTTACGAGGCTACCTGGTGCGCCTTCTGCAGATGGTGTCGAGCTACAGGTGCGGATTCAACCGAGGCAACCATACTGCAGGTAATAGACTTCCTACAGATGGGCATGGACAAGGGGCTAACACCTAAAACCCTCCGCTGTAAAATTGCGGCTCTCTACCGTGATTGGTGGTGGGCGTGGCCACCCTCTACCTTAACATGAGCCTTCCTGAAGGGAGCAGCAAACTTTAGTCCGCCCATTGTTCATCACTACCCCACCTGGGATCTTTCCCTGGTGCTCAAAGCCCTTACAGCTGCTCCATTCAAGCCTATTCGGACCATCTCCCTCAGGTTATTGACTCTTAAGACTATCTCTTTAGCCATCACATCGGCCAGGCGTGTGTCTGAGTTGGCAGTGCTCTCCGTCCGGGACGACCTATGGATCTTCCATCCGAGCAGAATCGTATTACATTTGGACCCAACGTTCCTTCTAAAAGTCAACTCGTGGTTCCATAGGTCACAAGAGATCACTCTCCCAGATTTCTGCCCACATCCATCTCACCCCTGAGAATGGCGTTGGCATCACCTCGACGTCCGTCGTTCACTTCGCTGCTATGTGCGACACACTGTGTTGTTCAGAATGACAGAGGTCCTGGTTGTGTCTTTTCAACCAGCCATGGGTCAGAAGGCATCCTCTCATGCTATTGGCCACTGGTTGAAGGCGTGTATTGCCCTTGCCTATGACTGTCAGTCCCTACCTGTTTCTGGGCACATCACTCCCCATTCTACCAGATGTGCTGCCAGAACAGCGGCCTGGGCAACGCAAGCCTTGGTGGAGGACATTTGCAGAGCAGCGACATGGTCATTGCTGTCACCCTTTATCTGTCATTACAAGGTGGACGTTTATGCCTTGGCTGAGGCATTCTTTGGACGGCACATGCTGCAAAGGGTGGCTTCTTCAGTTACAACACTAGACCAGCCTCGCTCTCGCCCCTGAGGTTTATTGCTTTGGCATGTGCCATGCTTGGATTCCCCAAGCAGCGCACAGGAGAATGACTGTTGATTTACCTGTATGGTCCTTCTGTGTGCGCTGCGAGGGGAATCCAAGCCTGCCCTCAGCGTCAGGTGTTCTGGGCCTGGACTTACCTTTCTTTGATTACATTCTGACTTATCTTGACTTCTAGACTTCTTTTGCTTCTCTCAAACCGGCTAATCCTTCGTGCAAAACTGAACCAGTCCAGTCAGGAGGTGTGGCCATCAATTTGCATAACTCAGTCTCTAGGCTAATGGACAAAGTTAACACATGCTTGGATTCCGCTCGCAGCGCACATAGAAGGACCGTTCAGGTAAGTCAACGGTCATTTTCTGTCTCTATCAAAAGGTTATCTAATATTGTGTAATCTTTGGCAATACCTTCCTTCTTCCTATCCTGTGCAAACCTTGATTGTATCTGTAAATAGGACCACCATTCTACTTATAGCCCTTGTGATGCAAATTCTAATCTAGTTTTAATCTCCCCCTGTCTGTTCAATAACTCTTCCATCCTAGATAGCCAAATGGGTGTTTCGGTATAGTGGTCGTTTTTAATTTTGTTCCATATTAATAACAGGGGCTGTCTGATATAGTGTCTATTGAAATATTTATGTGCAGATCCTTTTTCATACCATAGGGAGGCATGCCATCCTGCTTGGAGGTCATGACCTTCCAATTTGAGTAATCTTTTATTTCTCAACATTATCCATTCTTTTAACCATGTTATAACCGCAGTATAATAAAGTTTCCAATCTGGTACGCCAAATCCTCCTTTTTCCTTAGAATCTTGCATAGCTTTGAGTTTTGTTCTTGGTTTTCTTCCCTGCCAAATAAATTTCAAAACCAATTGATTCAAATCCTTAAAAAAACATTTTTCTCGTTTAATAGGAATATTCTAAAATGGGAAAAGAAATTTTGTTAGTACATTCATTTTTATGACTGTGATCCTACCCATCAGGGTCAATTGTAGGTTTTTCCACCTTTCTAAGTCTTTCTTAGTTTTATTGATCAGATTAGTATAGCTATCTTCTTTGATGGACACACACCTCGCAGATAAATGTATACCTAGATATTTGACTTTTTTGACAGTTTGGATACCCAATTTCTTCATTAACTCCTCTTTCGATTTTGATGTCATATTTTTAACCAGCATTTTAGTCTTTGTCATATTTATCTTTAAACCTGCTACTTTCCCATACTCTCTCAATTCGCCAATAAGTTTCATACCAGACTTTATAGGATCCTCTAACACAAAAACTAGATTGTCCGCAAAAACCTATAATTTAAATTGTTCCTTTTTAATTTCTAGTCGCTTTATCTGTTCTTCTTTATGTACATTCCTAGCTAGAACTTCTAAGGTTAATATAAACAGCAGCAGGGATAGGGAACAACCTTGTCTTGTACCTTTCTGAATTGCTATACTTTGTGTAAATTCACCATTAATTATTACTTTGGCTTTTTGATTTGTATATATTGCTCTAATCGTGTTTATAAATTTATCCCCAAATTCCATGTGTTCCAGTTGTTGATGCAAAAATTCCCAGTTCATACTGTCGAATGCCTTTTGGGCATCGAGAAAAAATAGTGCAACCTATTTTTCATTATGCACTTCATAATATTCAAGAATGTTCAGCATTTCTCATATTGTTTTTAATTTTTCTTCTGGGGAGGAATCCATTTTGACCTGTGTGAATGAACGATTTGAGGAATTTTTTCAACTGTTCTTCTATTATCAGAGCAAGATCTTGTAATCTGCGTTTAGCACTGAGATTGGTCTGTAATTTTATATAAAGATCTGATCTGTGTCCACCTTAGGTAATAATACAATATTATTCTCCATCCATGATAACGGTGTCTTCGCCTCTTTCAACACAGCATTATAAACTTCCAACAGCGTTGGAACAAGCATATCCTGGAATTCTTTATATATTTCTGCTGGCAGCCCATCTCGCCCTGCAGCTTTATTATTCTTTTGTCTTTTTATGTATCAATTATCTCTGATGTTTTAATTTCTTCATTGAGCATATCTTTTATTTCCTCTGGTATCTTTGACAGATCTGACTTTTCCAGATATTGTAGTATTCCTTCCTTTGTATAGTCTCGGTTTTCTCTATATAATTGTTTATAGAACTCTTGGGTAATCCTTTTCTTTTCCTCTAGTTGATAGCAGATCTCGCCTTTTTCATCTTGTAATTTATTGATCCATTTCTCTTGCTTCTGCTTCCTCAGCCTATAGGATAGCCACCGCCCCGGTTTATTTGCATTCTTAAAGAAATTTTGTTTTGCTTTTTTTATAGACTGTGCCAATTTTGCTTTTTCAAATATAGCCAATTCATGTTTAATCAATTCCATACTTTCTTTTATACTTCTATTTATATAGTTCGATTTATATAGTTGCAAGTATCTTGTGGAAAGCTAATAGGATTTCTCTTAGGAAAATGTAACATAAAAGGGCATATTTTTGCTTAATACTATTTAGGCTGTAATAACAATGATGAAATATTAAATATAGTATACAGAACTATTTCCTGCAAATGGGATCTGTTTTTGTAAGCTACCACTTGTCTATCTTCTCTATATATTTATTTGATTTTACTGAGTTAATATTTGCTAGAAATAGCTTCAATTTGACTGAATAAAAGAAGGTATATAAGTAAATTTGGGCAGGTAAAACAGTCCCTGGATCTTTCCCATCTTGTCTCTAGTCATTGTATAAAACATGCTGTAGTAACATTTATTTTCTTCTATATGCTCTTGATACTGCTTTCATATCATTTCTGGCCCATGAGTCAGAGAGATTTAAGTTATCCTAAGCTGTACTGGAATTAAAGGCTCATGTACTCCTCCCTGCAACATGAAGATGCCCAAATAACTTTTTTTTTTAATTCCATGTCCTCATGACATTGTCTTTATCTCATCCCTATTACACAGCTGAACTAGCTTAAAGCCATATTTAGCTGTTCCAGTTTTAAAGCAGTGCCTTCTCCTAGGTTTTTGCTATGTGGCAAAAGCTACAGCATGCTTCATCCACAATATAGTTATTGAAACAGTCAGGGAGAGAAACTGATATATTCATATTTGAAATTTTAGGCTGCAAGGGGGACATTTAATACAAGAGATATGGATGGTGTCATTTTGCTTATATCATTTCAGATTTATGGCAATCTATGGGTTATTTCTTGGTGCTGCCATTGCTCCAAACATGTGAATTTGCTGCAATTTCATTATTTTCATTCAAGAACAGAGTTCACTTGCCATGGATTGCTCTCTTCAGTTTCACTCTCATTTATCCTCACAACACAGTCTGGGTATTTTGAGACTTGAGTTTCATGTTCTTTCTGCAGAGCACTAGACACAGCTCACAGATGTGAAGCACACCTTATACTGATAACTGTAAGCCAGATACCTCGACAGCTGGCTAAACATGTTCTCTGCACTTGCCTATTCTTTTCCAATCTCATCCAACTGCAAGTTATGGGCAGTGAATGGCAATTGTTTACCTGCTGGTAGGAGACAATTTGGGGGAAAGGAAACAAACCAAGGGAATCAAATAATCTCTTCTTAGTTTTGTATTCATTAAAATAATAAGCACAATGTTAACAGTTACTGTGGTACAATAGATCTTGTTAAGGCTAGTACATTTCATGCTGGTATAGTATTTAGATGTTATGATAAGTACCTTGAGGACTCATCTGCATAATATTATTTTGAAATAACAGTTTGCGGGATAAAAGAAATACTAAATTTTTAAAATTTATTTTTCTAATGGGTTTTGCCCTATGTTGAATTATTTATCTTAATCTTAGTGATGCCTATTTCATATACATACACACACACACACACACACACACACATTTTCAGATTGGGAGATAAGAAAAATGCTTAAAGTATTG